CCCTCCTCAGCTGTGTTCCTACCTCTCCCTGCCTCTCAAGGTGTGCTCCTCGCCCGGAGTCCACACGCACCGGAGGCAAAGTGCTAACCGGGGCTCACTTCTCTCCGGCAAGTGGCCGTCCTTCCAGGGCGCCCAGGAGTGGCCCCCAGTTAGGACACCCCCTTCGCTCTGACTAGTCCTTCTCCCAGTTCTTTCCATTGAACTGCAGTTAGAATGGGCGACATCGTGATCTCCTTTTCCTGTGGCCAGGAAACACCCACCAGACGTTAACCAGCATGCAGTCACACACCAGCTCACACTCACGCTCACACATTCACACACTCACATGTCCCCTCCCACATACACTCTCATTTACTCACAGACCCTTGTACAATACACTCGCACGCTCACTTCCATGAATACACACTCACATTCACGCATGCAGTTGCTCACACACACTCTTACCCAACCACATGCTCAGCCCACACTCACTTGCACAATTACTCACACCCTCACTCGTGTGCACACACTCTCACACCATCACACATACTCATGCATGCTCACAGGCACACCTACACACACTCACACTCACATGCACACCCAGCCATGGCCAGCCCTCTGGACCCTCCACCACCGAGACCCCAGCCACTAATTAGGCAGAAGGCAGGGAGGTCAGGCTGGGGAGGCTTTGGCCGCAAGTGGCAGAGAAAGAAGCAGCTCCTTTGTCTTCTGAATTTTAAAAGCATGTCCCTAAGGAAGTGGAATGCCCTTAAGCCAGGGACATCAGACTTGGGGAAATACCCAAATTTGTTATTTCATGGATTTAAATAACAAACATTTATTATCTCAGAGTTTCTGCAGGTTAGGAGTTGGGTGCAGCTTGGCTGCCTGTCCCTGAGTCTCCCTCATGGCCGCCCTGGTGTCACTCAGGGCTGCTGTCTCATCCAGAGACTTCACTGCAGGAAGGTTTTCACCTCTAAGCTCATGACATGGGTGATTTGGACTCAGTTTTGAGGGCTCAGAGAAATGCTTTCTACCCAGTGCAGAAAGTAACTGTCAAGTAAGGAAGCCAAGGGGAAGCGGGATGCAGAGCAGGTGCAGAGAAAGTCTCTCCTGCCTCAGCGCAGCCCGGGCCAGGAGGGTGCTGTGATCCTGCTGCCAGGAGGACCTGTGCTGTCCCCGTGGGACTCTGGGGAAGAAAGGGCCGCTCCCTGAGGGTGCCTCGGGCAGCTCAGAACCGTTGGAGAGCCACAGAATGGGTCTCACAAGAGGACCTGGTCACCAAAACAGTGACTTGTCAGTGGAATCCCGGGGACATATTAAAGCAGGGAACTTGTCAGGGATGCAAGTGTGGACACACGGCTGTCAAGGACACAGCTGCTGTCTATCCCCAGGAGGCTCGCTTCCACCTGCCCCTGATACTCAGATGCAACCCAGCAAAAAAAGATGAGCAATTTAGAAATGGACTGAGATTTAGAAGAACAAAAATGAAGTGAGTTTTAGGAACAGTAAGTAGCTTACTTTTCTCAATCACCTGAGTTTGTAATTTGAAATTCTAAACTCCCACATCTACTCCTTGGTCACTGGCTTTTGTGAAAACAGTGAGAGCAGAGGAAAATGAGGGGAGAACATGGTGACTGCACCAGGCTCTACCAACGGCTGAGGACGCGGGACAAGGGAGCAGCTTGGCCCCGCCCAGAGCCTGGGAAGAGCCAGCGGAAGGGAAGGTGACTGGCTGTTTGAGATGCGCCCCTATAGAGCATGTATTCAAGGAGTTGCTCCATCTAATGCCAGCCCAGAATCCCAGAATCGCTCAAAGAACCACCTCCTCCCTTCTTCCCTCGTTCTTGTCAAAATCATCCTTTACCCAAAACATCCTTTCAGTCATCCCATAAAAATGACTGAGGTCACTTCACTATCTCTGCTTCAGCCACATTAACGGATTGGGAGCTGTGGAAAGTTCTCACAAACAGACAAGACCAGAGGGTATGACATGTTACTTCAGAGATTAGGTTATGATGACACTCTAGCTTCTGTCTTCCAGGCCCTTTCTCACCCTCTGACACTGACTCTGAGGGACACCAGCTGCCATGTCACAGGCTGTCATAGGGAGAGGCACACATGGCAGGGAACTAGGGACAGCCTCCGGCGGACAGTCAGCAAGACACTGAATCCTCCCAGCACCCATGCCCTGAGCTTAGAATCGGACCCTGCCCCCCAGGACAGCCTCCGGATGAGACAGCAGCCCTGAGTGACACCTGGGGGGCAGCCACGTGGGAGACTCAGGGACAGGCAGCCAAGCTGCACCCAATTCCTAACCTACAGAAACTCTGAGATAGCCATTGTTTGTTATTTAAATCCATGAAGCTTGGGATAATTTGTTATACAGCGATAGGTAACTAAGACATGCCTATCTGCTATTTCCTTTAAAAATAATTTCAGATTTTCCCTAAGATGAGGAAGAATTACTGTCTCTTTATTCATTCAATTTCTACCCAGTAAGAAATTTTATGAGCAGCTCATAAAAAACAAGGCTAGATTTAGCCTCTACCATTTAAATTACCTTTTTCATTTTCTACCCTGCTTATAACAGGACCTTAAAACATTCTTCATACATTTTAAGTTTTTACATTTTTAATTCTTAAAAGTGGAAGAAAAAAAGAAAAAATAGAGCTATTTTCTCTGCAAATAGTATTCATGCTCTTTAAACACTCTTTAAACAGAAAACAACAATCTCCCTCAATCTCAATTTCTAGCCTCTTGCTCTATCAAGTGTTGCAAAATTACATTTTCCCCTACATTACCTGGAAAGACTCTTCCTTTTCATATCTTATGCACTAGCTGCTCTGACAGTGCAATCTGTGCAAAATATAAAGAACCCATTATTTGGTAAATTAATGCTTTGGTTACTAAGGGTGTATTACGGGATCATGACCCTTTTCTCATCCTGCCCCGTGGGGCGGCTGCATCGAGAATCACAGAACATCTCAACTCATTTCAGCCAAGTCAAGACTTGGCTCGAAGCAGCATCAATAATAGTAGAGGGTGCTTTCCACTCAGAAGGCAAGTCGTGAGCAGTGTTCACAAAAGAAGGCTTTGAATCAGACTTTGTCTCCACACACAGAGCAACACGGAAAACTGAAGCGGCTATCAAGATAGTTCAAACATCTTCTCCATCAAAATCGACTTTCGCTGGAAATAGCTTGATTACATAAAAAGATGCAGGATGGGCGTTTCTGTTATGTAAGCATCCTGTGGTTCTGAATCCCCCTGCTGGCCCAGCAGACCCTCTCCTCTGTGGGACTGAGTGAAAGGCCCATTCTGTCTGGACCCTCCTGGGCAGACTTAGTCGCACGACCTTCCTCACCTCGGGCTGAGTCCCCACAGGAGGTCTGTGCGCATCTCTGACCACGACACTCTCCACCCAGCTCTTCACCGGCCTCCTGTGGACTTCATCCTGGCACAGAGGCCTCCTGATCCCTGCCGCCTGGCTTCTCTATCCTCTTGTCCTGACAAGTTTTCCCTCTGGCCCTCTGGGCCACATCACTTCCTGGAATTCTGGATTTACTGACTCATTTGCAAGTTATTTCTCCTCCTGGAATGTGAAATCCAGGAGGGCAGGGACTGAGACTCCACCACATGGAAATGCCAGGCACAGAGTCATCGAGTAGCAATAATGATTGAATACAGGAGCAGGGAGAATTAATCAGGTTGCCAAGGGGAAAAAAAAAAAGGCACACCTGTGATGCACCTGCCCCAGGTAACCAGATTATGAGGATGTAAAAGAAGGGAGGTTTTTAAAAACTGGGAACATGGAAAGAAATCTTAGCACATCTGAAAATGCGAGCCGTTAGAGGACACCTTGGTGGATTATATTCAGAATCAGTGACCGATGAGGGTGCGGGGTCTGTAGCTCAGCCACCCGAGGGACAGCCCCTCACACACCTCGAGTGTGAAGAATGAAGCCATCAGCTGGGATGACACGTCCACCAGCCAGGCTCTGCGTCATCCCCTCCTGTCTAAACACTTAGAGGCGGGGCCACGAGGAGCCAAGACAAATGCATGCTTCACGGCTGGTGAAAAATGTGTATTCCGTGCACTGCAAAGGTGGTGATAACCTGGTAACCGGGGGATAATGAGATCGGCGGCTGTAATTGAACCTAAATAGCAATTGCGGTGAAATGACTGGGAACCGCGCCTCATTACAGGACCGCGCGCTCAGCTCGGCCTCCGACGCCGACGCCGCGCCAGGAATCCTCTAACGATGATGTATTTCGCTGCTTCCTGTTCCTGCAGAAGCTGCGGGATCCATGTAAATGGAGACGATGGCTGGACCTGGAATGTGGCTGCAGTGTAATTAGGTAAAAAGGCATCCTTTTCTCTCTGACTGACAAAGCCCTCGCCTGCGCGCCCGGCGCGTCTGGAGTTGGATCCTGGAGGAGCCTATGGTTTGCTGTGGTTGCTGCTTGAGCAGCGCTTGGCCGCGACCTTCTGCTTGTCCGTTTTCCCTGCTGTCAGCATGTCCCACCTCGGCCCCGCGTCCCATTGCCAAGCTGCCCCTTTCCCCTTCTTCTCCCGTTGATGCCGCCACGGCAAAACCCAGTTGCAACGATTTAGATACAGGGCACTGTAGCCAACAAGAGAGGGCTCTCTGGCCTGCGACAGAGGGCAAGCCCACGAAGGCCAGGGACACTCCTGCCCTCCCAGGGCCCAGAGCCCTGCCTGTCTGGGAACTGGGCCCTCTGGACCCAGGCTCAGGATGTCCTCCCAACTGAGTTCATTTCATCAGTGAAAGGGCGATTAAGATAGCCAACAGAAGAAACAAGTGATTAGAAAGGAGTTTAATCGTGGGGCATAATCGAAAACAACCAGTTGGGGAAATTCTTTTAATACATAATGCTGTTTACTGGAGTGAAGGGAGAGTTAGATGCTCCCAAACCGCCACCGACAGTCTCTAGGATACACGCCCTACTTAGGGTCAGCTGGTCACCAACCCAAGTGCCGTCTACACTCTTCAAACCCCGTTGTCATGTAGCCTAGTAGCTACGAGCTCTGTGCATTTGGGCTGCTCTCTGGCTGCTTACTTTACACACCCCAGTGCTCAACAGGTAAGCATCTAACAAGTGTCGAGCCCATGGATAGTGCTGACTATCTGGGACCATCACACGGCCAATAGATAGCTCTGCCATCCTCAAAGCGTGTTGTATTTTCAAAAGAAAAAAAAATCCAAAATATTGTCCGTTTCTACGTCCCTCCCAAAGGTAAAGGTTGGCAGCTTTCAGCCACATTCAGAATGTGCTGGATGATTAGCTGTGTCAATAAGCAAGTGGTCCACGCCTTGGACTAAGGGCACAGCACTGTCTAGTCCAGACAAGGCGGCAGGAAATATTATTAGTTAGATTGTTCTTGGATGCCGCTATGCTGGAAGCCATGAACTTTTTTTTAATTCTGGTTTTGTTGGGTCTGTTCAGGAAGCTCCAGAAACTCCCTCCGATTACGTGACAAACACCATGTGCTGGGAAGAAGGCTTAGATGGGGAACAGGCTCATAGCTGCTAGTGGCCCTGCAAGATTGTTTTCCTTTTTTTAAGTTGTTTCTCCAGTGGAAAAGGCAAGATCCAATCAGGTAAGTTCCAAGTATCCACACCTTCCTACCATTCTCTTGCAAAGTAGCATTTCTCCCCTCCAGGCACTCTGCGCTTGCTGCCGGGGGCCTGGCATGGCCGATGGCAATGCCACCTCCCCGGAGCCTGGGGACCC